TAGTGTAATAATAATATATGTTCTCAATAATTCGTAAAAATTCCATACAACTGAGCATAAGCATATACGTTTGTTTACAATTCTCGATAATTTTGCATGTATTTGTATGAAAAGCCGCTCGAGTCTTAGGACCTATATCCAAGCCTATACCATCTTCAACTGTACTTACAACTGCATCTTCGGCAAATTTATCACCGCATACAAAATCCATTGGTAAATGGATCTGAACATTGTTTTTTTGAGCTTTGTCCGCCAAGTCTTGAACAATCTTTGATCCTTCTTCATCGCATAACGAAGAACCGATTTTCATATTTCTTAATACTTTTAGAAAGGTAAAAGCCATGCCTCCGCCGATAATCATTTCATTTACCTTGTCCCAATAGATTCCCAATTAATTGAATTTTATCCGCAACTTTGGCGCCGCCCAAAATTGCGACAAAGGGTTTGGGTGGACTATCCAAAGCTTGTGAAACGTACTTAAGTTCCTTGTTTAATAGAAGTCCTGCGGCATGCTTTTCGAAACCCTCGCCCAACATGGAACTATGCGCGCGATGGGCTGTGTCAAAAGCGTCGTTTATATAAACATCGCCTAACTTGGACAAGCTCTCACGGAAAGCCTTCACCTTCTCAGGATCAGCCTTAACCTTAGCTCCCACTATTATCGACGCCCTTGCCCTCTTCTTCCACATGGAAGCGAAGATTTTCTAATAGTATAACACTGCCTTCTATTGGATCCTTACACTTCTCTACCTCTGAGCCAACACAGTCATTCAAGAAAACCACTTCTTTACCCAGTAAAGTTTTCAGTTCTTCAGCCACAGCTGATAATGTATATTTGGGATTTTTATTACCGTCAGGGCGTTTTTCGAAAAAGCATACTTCACGCTGTCTAAAGCGGCTAAAATACGTTGATTACTCACAACTTTACCATCTTTAATTGGGACATTAAAGTCGACTCTAGAAAAAAAGAGAAAGTTACGTTAGAAGAAACAAGGGTAAGTAATCACAGACTACTTAACTAGTTAACTTGTACTGATAGGGTTTTTTTTGTGACTTTCACGGATAGGGGATGGATTGGTACAGCGTTGTAAAAGCAATAGGTTTTACGACCAAAAAGTATAGATTGCGACCAAAATAATAAATATTTAATGAGAGAAAGAAACACACAGAGGAGATAGGCAACAAACAGAACATATGTCTTTGTTTACATTTCAAAATAGATGGCAAAGTACATTTTACTCCTTATTGATTTGACATACGTAATGTATTCTAATAAACCGATTTAATTCATACTTGCTTGGTGTCCAAAATTACAAGAAAAATAAAAATAAAAAAGACATATACATTGTTTCGATAGATTTATATGAGAATTTCCATCTTAACTTAATTTAAAAAAAAAGAAAAACATTAGAATAAAATTATACGTGAAATCTGACCCACCATCAATGGAGTGACTATTGCCGCCTTACGTTTGTATGTTGTAAACGAAGCATCCTCTTCTCTACATCTATCTTAGCTTCTTACTTTCCTCTCTCTGTTTGCAAAGGTTTTTTCTTTCTTTTGCATTGGTTTTTGTTGCAAAGTTGCATTCACATGCGGTTTTAGAAGTAACGGCTTGCTTTACTTTTACGTAATGCTCGAAAGTCGGAGAAATAGTATTCTCCATGAAGACTCATGAATTCTTAAAACTAAAGTTAGAACCAGAGAAAGCTAAAGCAGAATAATACACAACTTTGACTTTTTTTTGCAATCGCCTAAAGCAGCACATAAATGTTTTCCGGCTTATTTTTGTCGTCAGTCGGGGTGATCCGACTGGTCCCGTGATATTGCTACTCGAATGCATTACAGTGGAATAAGACGGAGTGCATTTAACTCAATGTCGTGCCAGTGCATGCATAATACCTATGGAGAGAGGTGAGTTAAAATGTATAACTAGTACACATATATTCGTACAATGTTTGCTGACTAGCCCTTCAGAGACTTTAAATGATCGTAATCATATTTTCTTAGTCATAGATTGTCAATGTCATACATGCTTGAAAGTGTGAAGATTTTTACCTAGTTGAATGTGTCAAAGGTTAATATCGAACATTTAAAATTTCTTGTATTTTACAAGTTAGCTTAGAATTAAACCATCATAATTTTTAAACAACGCTCTCGCTAAATTCCCTGTTGAAAGACAAAGCACAGAGTCGCTTATAATAAATAAAAAAATTGCCAAAAATGGTTGAGTGCCCAACTAACAAATTAAATTGCCAGATCGTTTAATTTGCAAAGCCGCCAGCTTTATGTTTCACGTATTCTGTTAAAATTCATTGCAAAATGAGAATTGCCGTCGGCATTTTATTCTGTTAGAGCCTCAAGTTTCTCATAATCTGTTAAAATAAGTTTCTCAGAATCTGTCTATTAAAATAAGTTTCTCATAATCTATTTTGCAAAATGCAATTTTGCCGTCGGCATTGCAAAATGAAAAATTCAATGTAATTTTAAAAAAATTAATGAACAACATCAAAAATTGAATAAAAAATCAATAAAAAATTGAATAAAAATCAATGAAAATGTTTAAGAATTTCAACAAAGCCTTTATTAATCTACAAAACTGTGGTCAAAATAACGAAATTAAAGCTCTGAACTATATGAGTTAAATAATAATTAATTTAATTGTTAAGAGTTGATACTAATTTTATTTAAAAAAAGATAAAATAAAATTATTAGATATATATATAGATTATTATTATAGGCGAAATAGTTTTTTTATCTAATATTATACCACCCAATTTTTGTGCGTACTATGTGGGTTTTTAATTTAGTCTTATAATCGGCCAAACAGTAGTGCTTTTTTCAAAATGTAAGGTTGATTTCTTATGTTATTTTGCAGGCTTTTAATCAGGCAGGCCTTTATATCTACTGCAAAAAGTCATATATTTTAAATGTAAATATACAATTACCGTAACTATACCTTCAAAACAAAACATAGAACGGTTGTATTTCGCACGTATATGAAGGATAAGTGAAATTGGTTTTTTGAAGAAATGCAGTTAATAGTGGATGCATGAACGTTTTGATAAAAGCATGTATCTGAAGATCATATGTTTTGCTAAGTTTTAATGGTCTGATTTTGTTGGCATGCAAAACTGTGAGGAATAGGAATTACTTGCTTACACTTTAAAGCATGTGTGCTTCTTTGTTGTCGATGATGATGGGTCATATGTTTATTATCCATTTTACATATAACATCCCTGTATTCGAGAAGCAAATGTTTATACGTTTCACGTGCGGTCAAATATAAACAAGTGCTTATAATTTATTTAGTGGATTTTCACCTTAATCAATGTAAAATAAATATTTGGTGAGTGAGTTTTCTTGTTTCTCAATTAGAAAATAATTTCGTAAATCTACGCGCTAAGCTTAAAGCGTTAAAAAAATAATGAAGAATTGTTTAGACCCGTGAAACTCTTGTCTTAGAAATTAGTTTAATAAAGGCGAAAAGTAAAGTTAGTGCTGTGTATTTATAATTCTGCGTTTTATTTAAAGCGGGGGCATTTTAAAATTACTAATAAAAGCTGATTTGCAATCATTCGTTGCTTTACAGTGCGAAAGTGTTTAACTCCAGAGTCTATTCCAATTTGAACCGCGCTTACAAGTTCATAACAACGAATGGTAACAAAAGAATATTTTACTGCACACTGACTGCTAATTTTGCAACAATAATGAAAATATTAAATAAATAACATAAATATCAGCCTTTTGATAGGCCGGTATTTATATTCTTTTATAAATTCGCTTCAAGTTTTATTTGAAAATCTTCTGTCGATTTAACAAATCAAAATATTTCGATGCAAAGTCAAACGTAAGTTTTTGATTGTTGAAAGTTTACCTGATGAGAAAAGTCATTCTTTAAAACATCGCTTAATTCTATCGCGAAATAATTTATATAAAAAAACGACACAAAAGATTTTTTCAAATTATACCCTCTTTTGTTTTTAGGGTAACTATTTGACCGGCGTTAGCAAAAAACCAAGTAAAAATATTATATTCCGATGTGGCCAAATCTTTCATATCCATTTTATCTTTATCCTAAAAAGACGGTTGTGCCAGATTTGCACAACATAAGTTCTCTTTTTATTGTTTATGGGAAAGAAACCATTTTCAGACTGCATTATACTGTAGGCATGTCCCACTGATTTCGTCCTTTTTTGAAATATACCTACGTGCAACAACTTCCAATGTTCCTGCCAAACTTCAAGTTGATATTAAGTTCCGCGAGTAGGAGTGCCTGTGTCGTAAACTCTACTCAGGCAGACATTGTTTAGACGATTGAGAATTATACACCAAGTCAAGATCAAGTATATATATACTGTATAAGGTCTCTAAAGCTCCGCTCTCGGTATTGCGAATATCTTGACATAGTGAATATTCCCCCCATCTTTCACAAGGTACAAAAAATCAAAAAATTTATTTAGCTCTGCCGCCATAATACAACGAATGACGTGTCCAAAGAATATCAATTGATGCGCTAGTGCTTGATCTCTTCTGTTTCCATATATGAAACTGCAAATTATATTTACCTGTCCTATTCTTCGATTATATTAGACTTGTACTTCCTAGTAATACCTTCATTTTTCAATGCTCATCTCTTCCTTCATCTTTATATCTTTTATGTTCTGAGCAATTGAATGGAAGTTTCGCGTTCATTTGACATTATTTACATTAATTAATAGTTATATAACAGGTTTTTAATGCTTTAGGTTTAAGAGCTTTCCACAAACTTAGCGTGAAGTAGTCACGATCGGCTAAAATACTGATGTTTCATGGTGATGGTGGTTATGAATTTGCGATTTTGTTTTCCGTAGTCTAACGACATGAATCGATAAATTTAAGAAAAAAAAAATACATTAAAGGATGTGTTTCCATTTAATTAAATTTTATTATAAAAGGAACAAATCGATATATAAGGCACAAATACTATTATAATACTTGCTATAATAAATACTGTAAGTTTACGATTATTAATTAAAGTTAATTGCTTGCTTCGTCCGTATCTTCATCTGTAATGCCTTTCAGATGGTTTTTGTCGTTTTCTGTAGAAACTTTTAAAATAGTTTCCATTGCCAAATCTGCGTCGACCACAAGAATGGGTGCACATCCATCTTTAAGGTGTTCACATTGTGATTCGAAAATGTCTCTGGATATGCTGCGGGTAAAAGAGAATCGCAATGATTTGGTGCGCGACAGCCTTTTCTTGATTGGCGGTTTGCAGGTAATTATTTGAGATTCAGACTGAGTTTTCTCTTTTTCGGGTGTAGGCGGTAATGACGCTTTTTCCAATGCTATATCTCTCAAAATATCTTCAGCAAATGTTTTTATTTCGTTCCATGCATCACTTATATGTTTCTCCGTCGCATGTTCGTAGGTAACACAAAAACGTATAACATATTTGCCATTAACCATTGAGGGTATCATATGCATTTTACCCGATTGATTAATATGCGCTAACAGTTCTTGATTGTATTGATCGGCAGATCTAGAAGTTTTTGTGAGTTAAAAAAAAATAATACAGTTCGTACACTACAAGTATAATATTTACCTCATACGAAAACACACCAAACCCAAAAAGACATCATTCCGCACCTCAAAGCGATCATCTCTTCTCACTAAAGCTTCGAATTTCTTAGCTAAGGCTATGTGATTTCTTACGTAGGCCCTAAGACCGCTAAGTCCATACGTTCTAATAACAAACCACAATTTCAAAGCCCTGAATCTTCTGCTCAATGGAATTCCATAATGTCTATAGTCAATTGCCATTTCATGATCGTGTTGCAAATAAAGCGGGTTTACGTTTAAAGCCCTCTTCAAAGACATAATATCTCGGACCCACATTGCGGATGCATCAAAATTCGTTAAGAGAAACTTATTAGGATTTGTGTTAAACGAGTCAGCGTATTCCAGTCCCTTGGAAAATTCACGCATTTCAGGTAATATAAACGAATTGCCAGCGTAGGCACCGTCTACATGAAACCATATGCTTGATATCTGTTTGCAAACTTTACCGATTTCGGTAAGATTATCAAAAGCACATGCTCCCGTTGTGCCCACGGTTGCCACCACAAAAAACGGTGTTAGTCCCGCGCTGATGTCATTTTGTATAGATTGTCGCAAAAGATCTACACGCATGCGTCCACGCGAATCTGCTTCAATTATACGCAATTTGACTAAAGCCATTTTGGCTGCTTTTTCAACAGATGAGTGAGCCTCTTTGCTGGCATAGGCTATAAGCTGAGGTAAGAACACGCTATCATGTATTTCGGTTGTGGAGCCTTTTAATTTGTTTATCGCTCTTGAACGAGCTGTGATCATGCACACGAGAGTACATTCTGACGCAGAGCCTTGCAACGCCCCACCCCCGTGACCGGCGGATGCACTGCTAATAAAAGCCTTTGGTAAACCTAATGCTTTCGCATACCAGTCCATAACTATAGTTTCCAATTCTGTGGCGGCCGGACATGCAGCCTGAAAAGGGAATGGAAAATAAAACCTTACAAGATTGCAAAACTTTTGAAAAACCGATTATTTGCACGCACCCATGAAAAACAAATAGACCCGATAGCACTACTTAACATATCACCTAAAATCGAAGGAAACGAATTGCCCGATGGGAAGTAGGCAAAAAATTTCGGATGATTCCAGTGTACAACACCAGGCATAATTTTTTGTTCGAAATCGTTTAAAATATCTTCGAATTTCTCTGCTTTTAAAGGAGCTTCCGCTGAAAAGAGGAAAGTTATGTAAAAAATGTATTAATAAAATCGGAAGGAATTGACCATATATTAAGTAGTCTAAAAAATAACAAGTCATTAACACGTTCAAGATATATTCATTCGAGCTTTCTTAATTAATTTAATGCATAGTGAGTTTCATGAATAACTCAGGAATGGTATATTTATTTTCTCTCAGGGCTCATTGTTATACCCTATATTGCTGGTAGTACGTGGATATATATTAAATTTGGGGGGATGTGTGCAACACCCAAAAGAACTTACGGCGTACCCATATATTATTGTACATATCGATTTAGGATCACTTTCTAAGCTTGTCCATCCGCCAAACAGTCTTGCGTTTTGTGTTAAACCTACAAGCCGTAATTTTTGACATAGTGTAACGAAATTTGTTACAGAGTCATGATATGGCCGAACGAAGAACCGCATTGAAAATGGTTTGCATCGGATCACTTTTTCCACCAAGTTTTATACAGAGCCTTATTTTGGGAAGTCGTTATATAAATTTTTAAGTGAAACGATGTAGGGAATCTAGTGGCGAACAATCGTGGCTCAACATGCTGGTTTTACATGCTTTCCAGAATATTTGTTGCTTTACTCAAGCTATTCTTTGGAGTAAAACATATTGCATGATCAATTTGTTCATACGTTTTATTTGTGTATAATTATCTATAATTCAATTAACGATTTCTCACATTTTCGAATTCTCTCTAATTCTCCCCATCAGCTCTCTGCGCTTATATTGTAAGAAAATTACTTTTAATTAGTATCTTTTCTTTATGATAACGATGCTGCAAACACAAACACTTACTCGCACTTAATTATGGTACAACGTAATGTGCGAATCTTAGATGTTATTGAACGAATGAAAATAAAAACAAAAGTGAGTTTGTTTTCAGATTACAATGAATTCCCGTACCCATCATCTGCATTGCATTTGCATTCTGATGTATAAAGCAGCTTAAGATACAAATAAAGATAAAGGATAAATATCCGCCCAAAAATATTTGTAAGTGCATTCAAAATAAAATAAAATGCTGTAAAATAATCGAAGAAATAATTTGATCTAAGCTATTTTTAGTCCCACTTATTATGGCCCGGCAAAAATCGACCGTCCCAGCTATCGATTGCTATTAGTCTTTGTTATTACATCTTTCGCTATAGCATGTTGGAAGATGAATTATGCAATTTGTTTGTGGGCGATATATAGAAAAAAAAATCTATTAAATAAATAACATCACTTAATAAGTTCGTAGGATGATATATTTGTGTCGCAACTATTGACGAATCCATAAGATTTGTACCTGCAAAGGCACCTGCAAATAAAATTTGTCAAAATTCGATCACATTGAGACGATTTGGTTGCACACGTGACGCAACGTGCCAACTTCAGATCTTCCCAAACAAAGGTAATGTTATTAAAACAACGACGATTTGTAAATTAATGGGCGGGATTTTATAATATTTTGATATATTTTTTTTGAAGATCGGAGGTATCTAAAAATCATGGATTCGTAAACAGTTATTTGACATCTGTCTGTCATCCTACGAATTTAATGAGTGATGACACACGTTTGGTTGATGGATGAAGAATTGTGTGACAAAGAAAATGCTAACTGACATTAGTTATGCTTATGGCTATCAGAACTTATATCCTGCATTTACGTTTGCCTTACAAACAGTTAAGAGCACAAGCGGTTTCATACGCCTGAGTGGCCGAGTCTCGACTAGCAGCTCAATGGTCGTGGTTAAATGATCTTCATTGAAGTCGGGTTTACTCCCTATTTTCTTAATTAGACTATTAATATATTCCACATTATTGAAATTTAATTGGCATAAATTGTTACAATATTGGTGTTTGTAAATGAGTTCTTCCCATTTAACAGATATGCTCACGCCATTTCTGCTACTTCGTCTCATTTAACAGATGAGAGAGATTTTTTATCCACCATTTCTCTTATTTAGTTATTTTTTACTTATTAAAACCCTGTGCTCTCTTCATTCACAACACATAGTACTTTTTTTATTAACGGTGTATAGGGGAAAACCAGCTAACGGCAGTCTTGCCTCAAATGCGGTAGAGTTTTAACAAAGCCGAAAGCCTTAGATGCTAGTGGTTTAAGGCTTTGATCTTAGCATTTATTATAATAATATTATTTATTTATAGTATTATAATAATAATAACAATAATAATAATAAATTCATTATGTGTAACACAATTGTTGGTGGTAAGAAGTCTGCATTAAATCAAATAACGGTGCCTCTTAATGGCACAATGAATGAATTAATTATAAACAGATTAATATCTACATCCACTCAACTACATTCATAAGTAATATGAGTCTCATGTTGTATTTATATGGAAGTGTATATACATATATATAGCTATGTACATGTTGAGCTATGCAGGGATAATGTGACTCCTTTTCCGCTAGGTAGGTAGGCTATTTTCGACAACTTTTAGTAATTATTTAAATTTTCTATTAATATAATTGTTTTCACAATGCAAATTTTTCTTTTAAGAAAATCGTCTTCCTACTTGAGGTCTCTTTCACCTCAATGATTCAGTGAGTAAAGAAAATTATTGCTTTTTGCTGGGAACCCAATCCGCAAATTATCCCTGAGACATCTTTACATTGTATAAATAAAAACCGTTTGGTGTAGTTTTTCAGCTGATGGCTTTATCAACTTTTGTTTTTTTGAAATCAAAATTAAAATCCCGACGTTGAGGCGATGTTAAGGAAATCTTCATGGGGTGAAATGCAAGCTACTCACTCATCTAAGCAGTAATTTCAAGGAATTTTGGTAACGAATGGCTTCCGTGGAGTTTTGATTTAACACCTTTGGACTATTGCTAGTAAAATTATTTGAAGTCCTTGGTCAAGGTCGAGCGTTAAAAAGACATGTATAGAACACGCTATTGGTGAAACTAGGCCAAGTTTAGTAAACGAAGCGTTCGGGTATCGGTTCTATCTAATCGGCTCTAGTGCAAAGAACCGTGAATGTCATTGGAATCGTGTTGTATTTAGAAATCAATTGCATCGAATATTTTTCAAAATAAGAAAATAAGTTATCTTCTCTTCAGTTGGCATGAAATGTGTTGAACATGTATGTGACTATTTGAGTGCTCATCTGCTTACAAATGGACTCTTAAAACAAAAATATTGAAGGAAGAAATTTATGTGCGGTTTAGAACGACCATTCCAACGCCCAGCACTTACTTATGTGCGAAACTTGTATTTGCAAGATAAGAAGAAGATCCGCTCGCTTTCTATGCACAGAATGCCGTAAATATTCTGTCTATTACATAACTATCGAACGAGATTTTTGCAATCAGTTTCCAGCTCCGAGTTTGCTAAGAACACGTGACAAACGGACAAATGGACTCACTGACAAACGAGCTAAATTGCAATAGAATCCGATCTATTACAACTACGTTTATCAAAAATCATATGCTTCTTCCGAAAACCACAATGTAAACGTGATACATACAGATTCCCGCAAAATTTAGATCGCTTTGTTTGTATGATTTATGCTCTTTGTCGATATGTATTATTTATCATAAGTCATCCAACATTTTGCGCAAAGAGGTGCCCACAACACTTAATGAATTGTATGAGCCTTCAAAATTTCGCCTCTAAGTGAATATAACTTTTATATAAATAAACGGACAGATAATTTTTCTTTCTCGTGATGAATTATTATATTTTGAGTAAAACCTCTGGTACTTTCTGTGTATAGTTTAGCTACAATGAGTAAACAATTAAATTATGCGCTTTGAAAAATCGCAAAAATATTTACTAATATTTCAATAAACATTAATTTTATAGTCAGATTTTCTGAGAATAAAATAAGATTTTCCAAAGCAGAAGTGCACTATAAATGAATTGCATTGAATCGTTTTCCAAAATATTCTTCAATTATAAAAATAAACTGAACAAATTTTCCAGAGACTTAATACATATTCAAGGCACGCTAATTACGAAATTTTTTGTTAATATCATAAATAAGGTTTGTTTATAAGTAAAAAAGCAATTAATTAAGGAAAGTTGCGTTATCACGCAAGTATCTGATTTATTTGTCTATTTGCCTACAACATTTTTTTTAAATTTAAAAAAAATAATTAAATAAACAATTTGGCTCATTTCTTAATTTGCCTAAAAAAATTCCTTACTATTACGCTTCGAATCCAACTGACGAGAGCATGTTAGATTAGCTGCATTAGTTGTTAGTACCACTAACAGGCATAAGAGATCCGAAAAAATGTACATATTTTAGATCCGCTTGTTTTTGCCTTGAACGACCGTAAAAATTGGAAGAGGGAAAACCATACATAATCTTTGTTGATGGTCTGAGACCAAATGTGGGAGTTCATCTTGATCGTTCCAAAGGCGTGCCATTATAGGCACGAAAGACTGGTCTATAGCTTACATGCACCCGGTTAGGAAAATACTATTTCAGGGCTCTACATGATGGCTGATATCGGTTTTAAAAGTTTTTATCTTGAGTGTTTGTTTGTCTTCAGCTTGAAGTAAATTTCTCATCTTTAGTGTTTTGTTTTAATGTTTTCTCTTTTTTGTTAATCGAATTTTAGATTTCTTTTATTTATTTTTATTGGTTTATTTTTCTGTTTTGTTTATTTAGTTTTTCTCCATTTATTGATTGAGTTATTTGTTTATTGTTTTTATTCATTTTATTTTTTTATTTATATGTAACTTTTATTTTTTTTATTGGCTTTCATTTATCTATTTATTTTATTACTTTTTAATTTTTATTTATTTGTCGATTTATTTACGCATTTTTTTCTTATTTATATTTGTGTAATCATTTTTTTTTATATTGTGGTTTACTTTTATTTATTTTTTATTTGTGTAAATTTTTTATTTATATATTAATTATTTAATTTATTTTTTTTATTTATCTGCTTTTATTTATTTATTCTTCCTTTGTTTAATTTAGCATCCTTTGGCCATTTAAACTGACTTATAAAAGCTTTTAACTTAAAAACAAAGAAATTCAATGTCGCCGAACAGTCTCCAATCAATTCTTTAATTAGTAAATGATCAGGTAAACTCCTTTCATGAAAAAAAAAATACAATGATTCAGTATTTTAAAAATTTTTTCCTATGCGTAAGCCTAAATATTACTTTAGTGTTAAGAATGGTTTTTTTGAGCATTATTTTTTTTGTTTTTGGCTTAGGTAGGTTTTGATGGGTCGTTTCATTCTTAACAAATTTAAGAAATCTTTGCCAACTTCTAAAAGTTCGGTCATTAAACAAATTTAATTTGTATCGCAATATAATTCTCAGATACATTTTCTGCCGCTAAATTTAATAAAGCATCCCAAAGAGATCATTGCTCTGAAGATTGTCGATCAAACAGATTAAATTTTAATAAATTCAATTGAATTATTGTTGTGGCCTTAAATACCGTTCGCGTACACCAGTCCTCAAATGTTGCTGTGACCTTAAATTCGTCGTGCCGATCCCATGAAACTTTTATTGTTCCTTTCTCAATAATTTTCTTTCGCTCAATTTTCTTGATTCATAGAAAGGGATTCTGGTTGATTTTTAAAATCTAAGAAATATTTATTTTAATATTGGAGAAGTTTTACTATGAACATAAATGGCTGACGTTCGCCAACAACATGGCACGTCTTTTAGTCAATAATAAACGTTATAACCATTTTTCAATAAAATAATGCAGTCATGCCACAAAATTCCGATCTATTTAGCTATTCGACGTTTCGATTTGGAGTAAAAAGAACGTACGATACTATACCTGGTAATAACTGTTTTAAATATCCAGGGTCTAATGTTGGAGCCACATTACGTTGTTCGATATTTTTGGAATAATCACAAATATAATCAATCACTTCTTTGCCGTATTTCCGGAAACCTTCCACATCCATTTTCTTTTTTTTCTTAACAAACAATGAAATCAATTTAAAAGGTGATAAAATTTCAGTGTAAAAAGCCTTTTCTTCCCGTTAAAGTATATTTTATTTTTAATTATGTTAGATTTATTTATCTATTTTTTCTTTTCGACTATATTTTCTTGTAGCGTTTTTTTTTTTTTTTTCAAAACGTCTTTAATATTCTTCTTTGATGCTTTCTGTTTCAATATTTTAACACGAATGATGTAAAGTTTAATCGAAATGCATGTTTTATACAAAGTCAATGTAAGATATTTCTTCTCATTCAGTCGTATTAATCCCTATTCTTTCTTAAAATCACTGCTAAGGTAAACTACTCAAGATTAATGCACTAAATTGTGCTTTACTTTGACTCTCTTCTCTCTATATATGACGTTTTTCTTTTTTTTTTTTGCTTTAAAAAGTGTGGAGATATACTCTCGCGTTTTTTCAGATAGTACTGGAAAATTAAAGAGTAACGAAAATGCTTGTATTCAATTAGATAATCTTAAGTTTAAGGAAGCGTTTAAAGAAAAGAGTCACTAAGATTAAGTAATGAAAGTTTGCTCTTTCATATAAACTGATGTTTATGCAATTAGAGGATGAAAAACTTTCTATATCACGTTTTACGAAACGAAAAACAGGTGAGAAAATAATATTCGGTGATGGCCGAATCCTTTATACCCATCGCCGACTAGAAAAAAGGAAAACAAGTAAATTTTATATTACTGTCGAATATTACTGTACTTTACGGGTAAAAAGAAAAAAACAAGGAAAGCAAAGGTGTTCAGAGTTTTTGCTGCATAAGTATGTGCACGAAGACTGGCGGACCGATATGCTTAGACCGACACAAAAAACTCTTCTGATTCGATCGGTGCAACAAAAGATGGATTTATATCAAGTCCTTCTGGGTGTTGCATACATCCGCACACAAGCGGCGAGGGCATAACAATGCTTTAATTGAATATTTTTGCAAAGTCGCATGATATTATTTAACATTAAAACAAAAAATAATAATTATTTTCGTCAACTTAAAGTTTAGCTAACTGAATTATTTATGACTTTCTAAATTGTTTTAAGGAAATAAAGAAAGCGTAAATGTCAGCGAATTGAAAACGTGTAAGTGCACTGTATGCTTGTTATATCCACCATAGAACAAATAATTGCGAATATTATGATAAGAACTGCATGGATTTGGAATGAATCTTGGAAACTGAAGAATTAAAAATTTTAAACATTTTTTTTTTTTTTTGCTAATTAAAGGTAAAATCGGTCGATTCGTGTTGTCTTTGAAACACAGGTTTTCAGATGAGTAGATATATATTTACAAAAATTGTCGTTTTCTTAAAATCGTGTTCATTATCTCTATTTTGTCCGTAGTGCGATTAAAAATAAAGTGAAGGAAGCATTTGTGCACCTGGTGAGAGCACACTTTTTCTTTAAGTTTGTACACTGCTACGAGCTCAGTCAACTAATGAGCAGACGGATGAATGGATCCTAAATTGACTGACAATCTTCCGCCCATCAAAGCATTTAGAAAGCTCGATTTTCTAAATGTGACTGCAACATTCATTAACTTGTATGACTCTACGAACAGAAAGAGGAAAAATTTCAGCTTTCTTTTCATATGTGATGGCCTCAAACTTATTCAAAGTCCTCAATTTGATTGTATTATACATTTATATGTATGTCCATAAACGTCTCACATACCTTTCTTATTAACAACCTGTATAGAAGATTTAATACATCACCATTATCCGACAATGTTTACAGTTAGTTAAAATCATTGTTTACGAGCTATTAAAATCTATTTGAACTATGCGTTTAATATCGTCATATCCAGCACGTGAATAGCTTATAGTTTTTTAATTTGTCATCTGCTAATGACCGGTCGTGAGATTAATTTAAGCTGATAATAAAAAGTATAGAACTTAAAAAAAAAACCATCCCACTGGATTTTTCCCTTCACAGAAGTTTCTCTCGATTTTTTGATTTTTCTAACTTGTGATTCATGTTTGGGGATCGAAAATATCGTACGTGTGACGGGAAAACATAAAATTTATTCATGTCTTAAAAAAATTTCCCTCGAGATGTTTGCGTGAATCCACTGAACCATAGCGACGAGAATAGTTATTAATTACTGACTGGTTTGACTATCAATTTCAATTTAGGGTTTAGTGTACGCTAATATGAAGCATTCAGTTTGTCATTTCATTTAGCTACTTATGGAGACTATAGCGCCTGATATTTACTATAGAGGAACATATATTCAAGGAGATTTTTATAATTATACTTCGTATTTGATATTTCGTACCCTTCACTGAGTAAGATCGGGGTATACTCATTTTGTTTTTGCCCACAATGTGTGTAAAACCCAAAAGGAAATTTCACGTATAAAGTATATATATTCTTGATCTGCGCGAAATTCTGAATTCATTTAGTCATGTCTGTCCGTCACTGTGTCTGTGTGGTGTGTGTTGTTGGCACTCTCTTGGTCGCAAAAATGAAGATATCGATTTCAAATTTGGTAGAAACATTGAAAGTTTCTCCACGCAGGTTCGTATTGAAAATGGGCCAAATCGGTCGGAGCGGAAGCATACAGTGGAGCGTAAACTAAACGCAAGTCCGTCTTTTTAACTTTCTCGATATTTGCTCGTTACTCGGAAATTATTAAAATTAGAAGGCTGAAGCCTCCCACATTCTCTTATCCTTAGTGCAGAAATGGAAAACATCTGCCATGCCCACAAAAAGTTTTAAGTGATTAAATTTTCTTTTTTTTCACTTTTTTAAGGTTTAAAGAAGCGGACCAAGTCTGGACCAAATGGGCCTAATTTTTGGGCCCCGTTCCATATAAGACTTTTCATGACGAGTTAGCTCTTTAGAAAAAGGACTAATTTTTTAAATTTTATAATGAACACTGACATATAATAGTAAAGTCACCCAAAAAATGAACAGCAGGGAATTTGAATCGCATAGGCCTAGTTTTCAGACCCCAACATATAAAAGGGTTATCATAAAAAGCAAGCCCTTTTATGTAGAGAAAGTCTAATTTCCAGTTTCCTTCTGGAAGTAAATGAAGTTTGCTAAGTTTGGATCTGGCCATTGGATTTTTTTGGGCTTCGCCCAATAACGAAACGTAATTGCCAAACGGGCAGATTATAAATCTTTGATAACTCTGTACCCTACCCTACCCATCTTCTTCGGCCCATGATTTTTAATGGAAGACACAGAGAGAGAATGGCCCAGGGCATATGGTCGGCCCGTTGGGTAAGTAGGTTTTGTTCCTCCGTTTGTTACTATAAGGTTGAAGCTCGTTTATATGTTTAGTTGTAACCCCTGTAACTGAGACAAGAATTGAAAGTCCACATCTTTCGAATTAGTTAGCTCCGCAATGCCACGTGCGTCCGTCTCTACAACCTCCGACTCTCTTCAAATGACACTTAAGAGTAATAAAAATAATAAAGTCATCCGTGGTTAGACAGACAGGGACGATACACAGATACTAACGTGGTGTCCAACATGATTTTCATGAGAAGTATGCCTTTACATGAAAATTATGTGGAATTTTTGCTGCATTATTATCAAAACTACTGAATAACTGTACTACACGAAGTGGCTTAGGGTCGGCCAATCCCAACTATAATATTCGTACTTGTTATGCGGAGAGAAGTGTGTAGGATTTTTTCTGTGAGGCCATATCCCACTATAATGCTTTCAATTGCTTTGTTTAATCCTTAATCTTTTATTGTAAAGAAGAAAGTGTAAAAAAAAGACTTCTGAACACATTTCTCGATTAAATTGTACGCCCGTTCCAATCACGTTTAGTTCGATCTGTTCAATTCTGGCGTTTACATTTCTTTCGCATGTCTGAACCACCATCACTGCTTTCAACAGTCTTGAGAAACTCCTGTGCCGAATAGACCGGGGAAGAAGCGTCCCATACACTAAACTAAAGTTAATACTAAAATTATTTCGTTCCATTTGCTATGGAATTCTTTGATCCTTAAAAGTGTAAATAAATTTGTAAATATTGATAATCTTGATAAAGTTAACACGAAGCCGGATGAAAATGTTCTTTAGCTGCTTGTCAGTAGATCCATCAAGCGGTAATCTACATTCGTTTACTTATCCCAAAATGAAGTCTTCTTTTTTAGCCCAGGTTTCCTTAGCGTTTAAAATTGTATTTTTTTTTAACAAAATATAGTGCCTTTTGCCATGCTTGGAGACTTATACCTGTTGTGAGAATTTTGATGATGTCATGTGATATAGAAGTCAAGAACAATTAAATGTACATCGCTGCTGTGCGCAAGATCTTTGCTGATCAACTTTGTCTGACGATTAAACCCGAATTGGATTTCTTTGACAATCGTCTTCAGCGAGGCGTTACGTTTTATATATCTAGAGCCATTAATCTTCTAGCAAGAATGTTCATTGAGAGGTGTTATTAACAAAAAAGTGAATATTTTTATGCATAACTAACATTTATGATTCTATCATACCATCTACAAGAGTAACAGCATCAAAAGCAAACACTCCTGTTAGATAGCGAAAACCTCGTTCTAAGTCGAACTTATTTCTTTGGCTTAGAACCATGTTGCTTTAAACCAAGAAAAAGCAAGTATTAGATAACAATTAAATATTTCGTTACTTGATGATCATGCGCAGGGTTGATTTCGTTTATATATTAGAACGGAAAATTTCCAATTAATCGATATAGGGTTTCATTAAATTTATAGATCTGACTCAGCAGAGTAATAAAACTAAACACCATTATAGACACAAACCCAATTTCATTGGAAAAAATTATTAAAAATCTCGTGCGCCTACTCTTGTTTGTAAGTTGTAACAAAATTTATGTGCACACGGAGGGGATTTTTTGATAGAGAAATATATTTTTAATTTAAAGTAAATCAGTAAAGTCATTATTTACAGATGTGCGTTTAAAAAATATCGAAAATCATAGCGATTTGTTGCATAATCTGCTTATCTGTACTTATGCATGTTAACATGCATTTATTAGTGCTTATACTACTACAGTCGGATAAATGAGTCATGATTTCAACGTTGAACTTGTTTCAATACTAAAAAACCAATGAATGGACCACCACTAGTATAGCATGCTTTCATAAATACATAAAACAATAATGACTCGGCTCATTTAATATTCATGCACAACGATATTCAAAAATTCATTGATGGGATTCACAAGTTAACATTTTAT